AAGTGCTGGGATTACAAACGTGAACCACTACACCTGGCTGCTTTCTTCTTTTTATAAGAGAGGGTCTTGCTCTACTGCCCAGGCTGGACTCAAGCAATCCCATCTCAGTGCCAGCTACCTCCCACGTAGCTAGGACTACAGGTGTGTGCCACTGCACCCGACTAGCAGAGAATTCTTAAGCAGTCAGGATGGAACTGATGGCTGTTTGGACACTTTCTCCTTTCTTCTTAAAAGGATGAAATCACCTCTTCTTCTCTGGTGAGAGTCTGAGGAGACTTTTTTCTCACCATGAATGTCACCCCAGAGGTCAAGAGTCGTGGGATGAAGTTTGCTGAGGAGCAGCTGCTAAAGCATGGATGGACTCAAGGTGATCCCCATGGGGCCTCTTCCACATCCCCCAACTCCCTGCCTACCTTCTGCACAGGGGAGAGGCATCGTCCTGGATTAACTGTCATGTGGTCCATTTAATTAAAGGAGGAAAAGGGCAATTTGCAGAAGAAAATTTCTGACTTTCCCAGGAAAGGGAAGAATGGAAGAAATTTGACAGTGGATAATAAGTAGTTAGGAGGACTAGGGGAGGGAAGAAGAGACATGGCCTCTCTCCCAAAAGAATTATGAAGGAAGAGATAGTTCAGACTCACACAAAGGCAGGGAACTATATGGAGTGGTACTAGAAAGAAAGGAGCTGGGAGGGCTGCTGAGAGGTACAGAGTATACCCGTGTCAGGTGTCTGGAATGGCAAGAGGCACATGTGGGGGGTGCCTTGTGAGGGCTGATGGCAGGCAGGAGAATGAGCCAACTTACTCCCTGTCCTCTGCAGGCAAAGGCCTCGGCCGGAAGGAAAATGGTATCACCCAGGCCCTCAGGGTGACGCTGAAGCAAGACACTCATGGGGTAAGATTGGGTAGGCTGAGGGAGGTTAGCATGCAGGAGAGAGGGTACCCTCGAGGGCAGGTGAGGCAGGCACTCAGAGCTCATATGTATTCCCCTGGCAGGTAGGACATGACCCTGCCAAGGAGTTCACAAACCACTGGTGGAATGAGCTCTTCAACAAGACTGCGGCCAACTTGGTAGTGGAAACCGGGCAGGTATGAGCTCTTGAGAGATGGGCACATGAAACAGGGCCTGGGACCTGTGGGGTGGGCGGGCAGTCACAGTATGTCACCCACTCACTGGTACTGATCATTCTCTACAGGATGGAGTACAGATAAGGAGCCTTTCTAAGGAGACCACCCGTTATAATCATCCCAAGCCCAACTTGCTGTATCAGAAGTTTGTGAAGGTATTAGAGGCTGTGGGTGACAGAGTCCATCCTTTTTCTGTTCCCTAGTCTCCCTGGGGCCTGAACAGTTGCCTTGTATGCCTTATCAATTCTCAGGACTTTTCTAACATAGTGGGCTCCTGTGGCCAGCCTTGCCATTGCTTACTTAAGAATACCCAGACCCTGACAGCAGGAATTGAGATCTTCAGATTCCATGGATCCTGCCATCTGTTAAGGGAGCAGTAATAGGGAGTGGGAGGTAGGGTACAGTCTCTTAAGTCAGGAGCTGCCAATCTTGGGGGGGCCAGGGGACATCTAATTCAAAGGACTTAGAAGCCAGAGGAGACCTGAGAGATTATCTGAACCATCCCTGCTTTGCAGACGTGGCTAAAAGGGTAAAGAGTGGTTTGCTGAAGAGTCCACAGCAGGCTAGTAATGGCAAACAGGACTGGAACCCAGGTCTCAGGACCTCCTCTTTCTACTACACCAACAGAAGGAAGCTAACATATAATGGTCATTGTGTGCTAAGGGCCATACATGTTATCTGGCAAATCTACCCCATTTCTCTACCTCTGTTGCCATCTACTACCCCATTTCGGGCCATCATCATTTCTTGCCTAATTACTTTCTCTACCAGCCTCCTAAGGACACCTCTAGTCTCACTCCCCAACCCAGCCAGTCCATCCTTCACAAAGCATTCAGATTGTTCTAAAACATAAATGTCATCAAGTCACTGGGTCTTCTTTGACCTAGGATGACACAGTCCAGATTTAGCGGACTGGCTTACATGGCCCTGCATGCCTGTTCCTGCCATCGCCAGCCTCATCTCTTGCCACTTCTCTCCAGGGCCACTGCCCTTTAGCCTAACCACTAGCCTAATGATTCCAACCCATTTCTTTGGTACATATTCTTCCTTCTTCAGGTTATTGCACATGTCACTCCCTCTGCTTGGGACATTCTTTCCCTTTCCCCCTTTACCTGCTATTTTTTATCATCCAGAGCTCAGTGTATACATTAGTTACTTTTAGAAGCCATTCTCTGAAGTTTGAGTTGAGTACCCTTCCTCTATCACAGGCAACACTTCCATCATAATTGTCTGTGTAAATTCCACCTGGGCTGGACCCATGTCATTCTTCATCCACTCTGAATCCCCACCTCCTTGGCCCACAGTAGACTCTCAGTTAATCTGATTAAGTGAAGGTACTATGAACAGGTACTGTGGTGGGGGTGGAGCAGGGCATCTTTACTGTCAATCACTGGCAATTGTCCCACTGTGAAGACCTGATGAACCAGACCATTTCCTTTTCTTGTTCTGCTCACTAGCCAGCTGTGGGCCAGAGAAGGCAAAGCTACTGCACATCCCAACAGCAGCAGCCTGTCTCTTATCCGTGTTCAAGTATGCAGGACGCCACACCTCCCCGTGGCTCCTCAAGGAGCAGTGGTGGGGGCTGGCAAACTCCTGCCTGGAGCTATGAATTCTTAGGGGGCTTCCACAAGGGAACAGGGATGGTCAGTGGTGTTGAGAAGGCCTTGTCTACCCCCATGACCCCTCCTAGATGGCCACGTTGACTTCAGGTGGAGAGAAGCCGCTCAAAGACTTAGAGAGCTGCAGTGATGACAACCAGGCGCCCAAGTCCCCAAAGATGTGAGACTTCATTTTAGCCCTTGGGGAATGCGGGAGATGTCCTCAGATCACAAGAGAAACGGCTAAGTCTAATGCTTTACTGGGGGCTTCTTGGGGGTGGGTGGAACTGTGTTGTACTAATCTTTGTATCCCTAGTACCTCAAAAAGTGCCAGGTCCTAAATAAGAACTCAGTGTTGAAGGAGTGTTTTAGAGGGAGGAGAGGTTAAGCCTTTCCACCAGCCAGGTTTGTTTGTAACTGCTCATCTCCCCTAACAGTCTGACTGATGAGATGCTGCTCCAAGCCTGTGAGGGGCGAACAGCACACAAGTAAGTAGTGGTCAGCTCCTTGAGCTCCCTTCTTTTCTCCCCACCTCTGAGCGTGGCCTGTGCCACTTCTTGGTTCTTTTTACCCCAGGTAGATGATTCCTGCTACCTACCCATCTATTGCCTGAAGATAGGCAGCTCCCCACTCCTGCCCTCCACCAACTTTCCCTGTAGGCTTAAGGACTAGGCCCATTTCCCCTGATAACCTTGCTCTGACTTGGACCCTGTCTGTTTCAGGGCTGCCCGTCTTGGGATCACAATGAAGGCGAAGCTTGCTCGCCTAGAGGCTCAGGAACAGGCCTTCCTGGCTCGTCTCAAAGGCCAGGACCCTGGGGCCCCTCAACCACAGTCAGAGAGCACGCCCCCCAAAAAAAAGAAAAAGAAAAGGAAGCAGAAAGAGGAGGAAGAAGCTGCAGTATCTGAAAGGAATGATGCAGATGAGAAGCACCCAGAACATGCTGACCAGAGCATCAGAAAAAGCAAGAAGAAAAGGCGACATCAAGGAAAGGTCTCAGATGAAAGAGAAGATACAACTGAAGGGAATGAGGAGGAGGAGGAGGATGCTGCAGGAACAAGTGGGCTTGGGGAACTGAATAGCAGAGAGCAAACCAATCAGTCCCTCAGGAAAAGGAAGAAAAAGAAGAGGTGGCACCATGAAGAGGAGAAGATGGGGGTCTTGGAAGAAAGAGGAAAAGGCAAGGAGGCTGCAGGCAGTGTCAGGACGGACGAGGTAGAGAGCAGGGCATACGCTGACCCATGCAGCCGAAGAAAGAAGAGGCAGCAACAGGAGGAGGAGGACTGGAACCTGGAGGATGGAGGTGAGGAAACTGTTTTAGATGGTGGGACCAGGGAGGCAGAGAGCAGAGCATGCAGTGATGGAAGAAGCAGGAGAAGCAAGAAGAAAAGACAGCAGCATCAAGAGGGGGAGGATATCTTGGATGTGAAGGATGAGGAAGATGGCGGGGCTAGGGAAGCAGAGAGCAGAGCATGCACAGGCTCAAGCAGCAGAGGTAAGAGGAGGAGGCAGCAGCATCCCGAGGAGGAAAGAGCTGGAGTCAGCACTGGCCAGAGAGCCAAAAAGAAGAAACAGAAGGAGAAAGACTAAAGGTCTGGCCAAGGTGGGGCTCAAGTGATTCATTTTCAGGAGTTGAAGGCTCGAAGGACAGGGTCAATGCAGGTATGCAGGTCTTCTGCACCCCTGTCAATGAGGAGTCCCTCCCAAAAAGGAAACTGATCTCCAGGATGTCCACTGCTGAGAGGAGCCAGGAGTGGTAGTATACCTTAGTTGAGGGAACCAGCATAGTCCCCTCTGGAGCTTGTAACCCAGGATCATGAACCCAGGTGCCTAGAGAAGTCAGGCAACTAAGGGACAAGGAATGCTGGGGGCTGTGGGAACAGGAATGCAGATACCCTTTCAAGGAGCTTTCCTCTTAAAAGAAGCTGAAAATGTAGACTTAATGTGAAGTGCTCTGATTTCTAAATATTGTGAAGGTTAAGAAAAACAAATTTAGGTCTATGGGCTAGATTTAGCCAACAGTTACCAGTTTCTAGCACTACCAAATGAATGAATAAACATCAACTTGGGTTCCTAGCCTAGAGATAAATCCCAACTGGCATCTCTGCTCCCAGCATGGGAAGGTCCTGAATACAAATTAGAAGATACTCCTTGGAGGCCTTTGAAGAAATTCCTTCTGTTAACCTCCTTGTAGTCTTGCTACACTGATAAGTGGAGTAGCTCCCTATCTGTTTCTCAAATGAATAAGAATTGTGTATAGGACAGCACAACTCACTTGGCATCTGACAGTCAACTTTCATTGTTCCCAAATACCATGGCAATCTCTTGCCTGTTGTGTTACCCCTAGAGAGATGGCACCCAATCCCCAGGGTTGCTCTCTGACTTCTACCACTTACTGACCTTTATTGCCAGAGGAGCTCCCAGGACTCCACAGTTCCGGAAGAGAGGGGCTCTAAGTCTTTATTGGGAAGAATACCCACCCACCTTCCCTCACTGCAGACGATAGACACACTCGGTGTCAGGGTAGGGTGGCAGGTTCAGCTGGTACTTCTTTTCCAGAGCAGGTGGCACGAAACGACCCCCCAGGTAATGGTAGCGACCAGTAAACTGGGTTGCAGATTTTTTGGGTGCCGTAAGGGAGATGAGCAAGTCTGGCTGGATCCCTGCAGGGTTTCCCTTCTCCACGTCCCATCCTGAAAAAGGGTGGTGGTCAGGAAGAGGCCAGATGTCCTAGCCCCTTCTATACCTTATTTTACCCTAGTCCCAGAGAAGTGAGAAGTCCTCTCAGTTCCCACCTAAGGAGCTCTCGTCCTGCAAGCTCCACGTACTCTTGGGCCGTGGTCTCTTCATGGGCCCAACATGTAAAGGGGACTTCTGAATGCCATTCCCCGTCCCTGATGGGGGTCCAGAAAGCTATGTTCTGCCCCTCTATAGTCATATTATTTTAGACCTGTCTGGGCAGAAATCAGGAGGGTAGGGCCCCAATCTCCACCCATTCCCACCCCACCTTCTGGGTCCCAGCACCTGAGGGAATGTCGATGCTGGCAATGGGCACGGTGAGTCCCTTCAGGACACTCAGGATGCTGTGGAACGGTTCCCGAACATCACCTTTGAAGCTGAAGCCAAAGATGGCATCCACCACCAGCTCATACAGTTCATCAATCACCATGGGCTGTGGTGGAGCAGAAAATGGATGTCAGAGCCAGCAGCTGCACAAACAGCCTTAACTAAAGAGGCTGTCCTCTGCACCTGTGGACCATTCACAGAGGCACAGTATTGTATCCCATTAAGAGGGTAGCCTGAGGTCTAGAGAAAGTGTGAGTTGGTCACTGATTCAGACCAAACTGAGTCCAGACAGTTTTTGTTCTGGGTGCCTGCCTGCCACTGGGATGGCTACAGGGTGGGATAGCCTGAGATGGAGTCAAGAGAGCCAGATTCTGGTTTTAGCTCTGCCATGATCCAATTCAGTGACTAGGCAAACCACTTCTCTGTGCCTCAGTATCTTCATCTGTAAAATGGGTTAAGGAAAAAAATTATTCAATTTCCCATCCCTTAATCCATGCATCTGCAGAAAGAGTTTCAGATAGGGCAGCCACTCCAGCCCCTGAGGGGCAGATCATGTGTTGACTGCATGCTAGGGCAAGAGGGTCTGACTAGAGTGGAAGGAGGGACCAGCGAGATGAAAGGGGAAGGAAGCTTTAGAGAAGGTGTTGTGGTTCTGTGATACTAAGCAGTGAGTTTGTGGGGGGGAAGAAGGTGGTGTGGGAGACTCATGGAGCACACTTTGTGAAGGAGAAGGCTCTTACACATTTATTCAAATAGCATCCTTTAGGCATCTTCTGCACCAGGCACTAAAATGAGCTCAGCCTGGAAACATGAAGGAAGGGCAGAGCACAGGCAGTGGTTACTGGGAGATGAGGTATTAAACTGGAACCACCTACCTCTGAGGGCATCTCCCCAAGGAAAGGGATGTCCATTTTCTGACACTGGGTCACCAACGCAGTGAAGAGGGGCTTGTTAGGCCTTTTGGGGTAATAGATGGTTGGCTGGTAGCCCTAGGAAGAAAGGAAAATGGTAATTCGAACCCAGATCCCAGAGCCCTCACACCCTCCCCCACAGCCTGGCCCGGCATACTCACAAAGAGTTTGAGGTGTCGAGCGCAGACCAGACCATCTCCTCCATTATTCCCCGGGCCACAGATGACCAGGACAGTAGGGGGGCTTCTGGACATGGACGTGGGGGGATATGCCTGAAGACAGAGTCAAGGGTGGTTCAGCGGGGTTTCAGGCAATAACAGACCAGATTGGCCCAGCTGTCTCTCCCACCACTTTGTGCCTAGGCCCAGGGCCTGGGACAGAGACTCCTCCCTGGATGCTCCCAAAGGTCGAGAGCTGTGCCACTGACCTTGGCGATGGCTGTGGCACAGCTCAGCCCGGCCAGCTCCATAAGTTGGTCCACGCTGAACTGGTACTCGTTAAATAGCTCCTGGTCCACGGCCTGGGCCTCCTCCTGGCTGAGGAAAACCCGCGGACTGAGTCCCGCCCCTCGTGTTCTCCGTCGCACAGGTGGCCCGGCCGCCCCAGGCCCCGCCCACCCGAGACCCGCGCCTACCTCAGGTACTTCACCGCCGTGCTCGCCATGACCTCTGAGTTGCAGCGGACACCCGAGTTCAGCCGCTGTGGTCCCCAACAGGTCGGTCCCGAGCGGCAGGCGCTGGTCTGGGTTGCGATCCGCTGCAGGCGCGAGCCCGCAACCAGCAGCCCGATCCCCAGCAGCGCCCGCAGCCCGGACATCCAGCTCACAGAGCGCGCGCCCCCAGCCCGGCCCGGCGCGGTCCAACCCCGGCGCATGCGCGGCGCTCGCCCCGCCCCCGGAGTGGCCAGGCCGGCACGCACGGGTTCCGGAAGCGGCCCCGGGCTGGAGGCTCCGGGCTCTAGCAGGGCTTGGGTCGGGGAACCGTTCCCACCCGGCTCAGCTTACCTTGCAGCCAGGATCTCAGGTCTCCTCGGGAGCGTTTACAAATTGCCACACATTTCCAGATACGCTGAAATGCCTTGCTCCCAGCCGCCCTTTGATAATAAGTGCTGGTTTTGTAACTCTGAGAAAGCTGTGTGGCGTAGCGGTTAGCCTCGATTCCTGTCCCACTGCTTAGTGGCTGAGTGAATGTGGACACTGTTGGTGTTAGTTTCTCGCGTATGCAACAGGAAACAAGTACATGCTTCACAGATGCTGAAGCCTGCAAAGCCGTCGCAGAGGGCGTGGTACCTGGTACGGAAATTAAGCTACTGCTCTTATTTACACCACCGAGCATGCTGTGTAGCTCAGACCCCCTCTCCACTACATTAGCTTCCCCTGCCTCTGTTTTACCAGGACATCACGCAGTACTTCCCTAGTCATACTTACCTCCTTTACTGAGATAATAGCTACGAAAATAGAAAATTATAAAACTTAAATAGGTTGGGGAAGCTATGGTTTAAAATGTAGTTGAAACCATAGGCTCCAGGTCACGACGATGTTACACTAGAAATCTTGAGAGGAGTACAGTTTATCCGAGAGGTTTTGAGAATGCAAACATACTTGTGCATGGTTAGGGGGAAAGATTGGAGAATAACAAACCAGTTACTATTAGGGCCCTAAGATAAAGATAATTATCCAGACTGCTATGGACTCAATGTTTGTGTCCTCTTCCCCCCTCCCAAATTCATATGTTGAAGCCCTAACCGCTAATGTGTTGGTATTTGGAGACAGGGTGGTTGGGAGGTGGTTAGCATTGGTTGGAGTATAAGGGGTAGGCCCTGGTCTGGTAGAATTAGTGCCCTTATGAGACTTTCTTCCCCTCCCCACCTCTCCCTGCCCCTCTTCTCTGTCACCATACTGGAACCCTGATCTGACTTCCAGTCCCCAGAACTGTGAGAAAATTAATTTGAGCATCCAGTCTATGATATTTTATCTTTTTTTCTTTCTTTCTTTTTTTTGTGTTGTCACCAATGATATTTTATTATGACAGCCCAAGCTAAGACACAGGTAAAGGGAAGGTGTTTTTTTTTTGTTAGACAGGGTCTTGCTCTGTCACTCAGGCTGCAGTGCAGCCACCTGATCATGGCTCACTGCAGCCTGGACCTCTGGGATCAAGTGATCTCCAGCCTCAGCCTCCCCAGTGACTGGGACTACAGGCACACACCACCACACCCGACTAATTTTCATATTTTTTTGTAGAAACGAGGTCTCAGCAGGGCAAGGTGGCTCATGCCTGTAATCCCAGCACTTTGGGAGGCCAAGGTGGGTGGATCATTTGAGGTCAGGAGTTCAAGACCAGCCTGGCCAATATGGTGAAATACCACTGTAGGGTCCAGCCCTACAGGGTTCTGTGAGCTGCTCTGGGCTGGTGCAGAGACGAGAATTTGTAGAAATAAAAGACACAAGATACAAAGATAGAGAAAAGAGAGTTTGGACCCAGGGGTCCACTGCTACCCAAATCTCCAAGACCAGCAGTGGCCCCAAAGGCTGGGACACTCTCACTTTTATTGAGTTGCAAATCTGGGGGCAGGGTAGGTAGGGCGTGGCCTTGGTGGTCGGTGACTGGGGGCAGTGATAGGGTCAAGTACATCATGTGTCATTCAGGTAGGGGCTCAGGAATTTCTGGCAGCCGAATTGAGGTAAGAAGCATAATGCATCAGCACCTTTTCCATACTTATCAAGAAAGAATGAAAACATTAAGATTTATATTACTATTACTGATTATCTTTTCTAAGACAAAAGGAACCTGGTTCAGAAGTAGAACATAAGAGTAGACATGGAACGTGACCACTGAAGCACAGCATCGCATAGAAAGAGTTAAGCCCCCGGATGTCTGCGGGTGTACCTGACAGCCGTCAGGCCTATCACAAGAGCTTGGAGAGGCAGAGTTTTCTCCAAACTTCCCCAGGAAGATGTCGCGGCCATTTTGGACATCTCCTTCATTAGCTGACTAAACAGCAGGCCCTTTCACACAGGCTGTGTGCTGCCACATGGCCGAAGCGCCCTCCAGTAGCCTTAATGTCATTCATTTCACAAAGTCACCCCAGGTTCACACTTCTGACCTGAGAGGCATTAGTAAAAGAATTAAGATCACCTATGAATAACTAAGATCACATATGAATAACTAATAAGTACTTCAGTTATATTTCTAGTTACTTTCTTCTTCATTATTTATATAGAAATAAGCTGAGGCCTTTTGCTCCTGCCTCGGCACTTATGGGATCTCCCCCCTGCATGCTACCTCTACTAAAAATATAAACATTTTTATGGGGTTGCAGGCACCTGTAGTCCCAGCTACTTGGGAGGCTGACGCAGATGAATCGCTTGAACCCGGGAGATGGAGGTTGCAGTTAGCTGGGATTGCACAAGTGCACTCCAGCCTGGGTGACAGAGCAAGACTCTGTCTCAAAA